CTTCTCTGACGGAAACCACTAGTTGTCTTCAATTCAGATTTCATCTCCTCATAAACTCTAAGACGCCTGCGTGGTTTCAATTAAGGAGCTTTTATTGGCCTCATTAGCCTGCGCGCTACTTTTTCACATTCGGAGACTGCCGCAACACCCTGACGGTCGACTGAGTCAAATGCCGCCTAGAAGTCAAGAGATATGAGGAGTGTTGGCCACTTGCTAGTAAGTTTGTCTTTGTTCTAGAACTTGTCGGTGGCTAAAACGTTGCCCGATGTACTCTCGTCGAGGTCTAAAATCTGCCTTGTTTTCTGTTTTTGTGTTCCAGTTAGGCGTCGGATAACTATGGGTTATAAGATCTTGGACACCATATTCATCAAGCCAGTTCTCCTATTGTTGTCACAGGAAGACTTCTATCCCTTCATATGAAGTGAAATGACCAGTGGATTAGACTAGTCTAACAGTACTACCCGCGATTTCCATATTCTTCCTAGTACTTTTGTCACTTTAAGTAGCTATTACCTACCGCCATGTTTGAGAACTTCAGGTGGCAAACTGTCAGGTCATGCTGCTGTGCATCGTTTCAAGTTCGTTACAGCTTTCTTAACTTCAAGGAGGGTTGGAGGGCCGACATGTGCATCCCATACATGTTCAGTGTAGATGTTGAGCAACTGGAGTGTTGGTCGGGGCCAGTTGAACTGCTTTTCCGTTTTCTGCCTATCGTTCCAGCAGTCTGTCCTGGAAGGTTGTCGGTGTCCCTTCTTCTTCTTGCCGATATCCTTAATAAGTTTGGATATTTTCTGAGTGTTGCCGGCTGCTGGTGCCTTTTCCATCTCACTCGTGTTTATGAGACACGCATACAGGACGCAGGTTTGGTTATTGAATTGGCCGCACCCGATAAGTATATTGAATCCACGAAATTCGATGACTGGTCCTCGTGTTTTCGCAAGTGTTAGCGTATCATCGATTCCTAGGGCTGAAGGTGCACTGGTCGACTAGATCCCTGTTGACGGTTGCCTATGCGCTTTTCAAATGAACGACACAGCGAAGACTTAAAAAATAGTGGATCTTGGTGTTATCTTTTAGTAATGTATGCAACCAGACCTACGGACTGCAGTTCGGATGAAATGAAAAATTAGTCCTACCAACAGTTATCTCAGCTCCTACTGGAAACCAAACGTTCAGATGAGCCTGCCGTTGCAGGTGATTTCAGCCCACAGGTGGGTAGACCAAACCACACACAAAAAACACGTAGGTGGCATTTTTGCAATCCTTTGGTGAATGAACGTATAATAGTGATCATCTGCTGCAACTGTGATCAAATAATCGTTTTTTCAGGCCATCATGAACTTCAGAAATTGCCTGACGTAGCATCCGCCGACTTTAACTCAGTGATAAACACAGAGAGACCACATTATCACCAGTTATCACTGGAGAGGGTCGGTGAAAGACTGCCACTCAATCTGGTGCACGTGTTCGGACAGTTATTTTATTATTAGAACACAAGCATGGTACAGCAAAGGCACCAAGAAATGTGCCGCCCAAAATGACATGACAACATTATGAAGATATAAAGCGAAGGGAAGTGGGTAAAAACAAAACACAATAAGAATAGGATGATTAGAACGACAGTCTGTGAGATACATTCAAAACAAAACACTCATTACTTTTCAGCAGCAGAAGATAGAAGGAAGCTACAGCTTGACCGCTACTGGTTTCGATTCTAAGCCATATCTGATAACGCCTCAAGCCTCTAAAGTTGGGTGATCTCTTTTGGGCCTCACCCAGAGTCGTGATGCACCTACAGATGCCAACTCGATACAACTATACTTGATCTCACGGCCCCATGTCATACACTGAACACCCTTCCGCTTCTACATCCAGTCCTAGGGTTAGGAATTAATAAAGGGTGTGAAAGCCATCGGGAAGACATGCGTAACACATGTTGAAGCCACCGAAGCTGGTTTTTCCAGATGACTTAACTTATTAAATGACGGCCTCCATCATGTCCAAACACGTGTTGTCATACCTCAGGATTACTTACATGGTGTTACCACCGGATACAAGCAATCCTACAGAGGCAAATATGATCTAACACACAGTCGTTGCATATCCTCAGCTCGGAAAGGCCAGGTTTCATAGGCGTAGAGCAGAACTGCTTGGACGGAAGCGTTTAAAAAGCTACCTTTTACGGTCAGACTAACGTCACGACATCGCCAAAGGTGACCCAGGTTGACATATGCCACTCTGGCTTTCGATATGCGGTTGGGAATTTCACCACACACCAGTAGTACTCACACGACTACCCAGATACATGGACTTTTCGACTACATCCAATTGCTCACCACCAAAGGTTAGCGCAAGCACAGGATCTTGCCAATCTTGGAATAGTACTTCGCACTTTAATAATGCAAAACACATACCATACTTACGAACTCTTATACCGAACGTTCACTGTTTTGACAGTGAACACGCGTTGTTTAAGGCACTAGTATTTCTGTGCCTAAGTGAACGTGGAAAAACGTAAGCGACAAGAGCACTGAGAGTGCAGGTAAACAGTGAGAACGCTACGGCCGTTTTCAGTGAGAAACTGGGTAGAGAGTTACCAGAGCAGAACAACATCACTGATCCAGAAAAAACCTGTCGCCACCTCCAGTCTTCTGTAAAAACAGAGTTGAAGACCATAACCGCCTCTCAGAGATCGGTTAAAAAGAGCCAATAGACCTCAGTGGCTTATGAGTTTATAGATCCACGCGAACGCATTCCCACAGACTTCGAGTACATAAAGATTGGAAGCAACTTAAATGTAGACTGACAAAATGTATACGCAACGACCGCAAATAATGGTGGATAGTGATGGAAATAGCATTAGCGTAAGGTAGTGGCAGACAATTAGACTTATTAAGGAGACGGGCGAAAAAGTCAGTGGTTAGTGAGACTTTAGAGGGGACAGTGGGTCTTCGCTACACTCGGAGGGGGACTGGAATGATGGGCGGAACACTTTAAGAAACAGTCCAACTGGCTTCCAGACAGTATCCAGTTACCCCTGTCCAGTCGGATCCTGAATGAAACATCTAGATAGGGCCTCCAACACTTGCAGAAGTCGACCAAGTGATAGATAGTCTGAAGCGAGAAAGAGCAGCAGGGCCAGATAGACTAGCACCAGAAGTATTTAAAGATGGTGGTAAAGAATTATCGGTCAAATTAGCTGAACTGTTAACTAGTGTATGGGAGTCAGATACGGTCTCGGATTGGTTTCAATCACTGATCGTCCCAGTCTTTAAACAAGGTAAGAGATCCTCCTGTGATAACCACGGGAAACTCAACCTGACGAACATTCTAGTTCCTACTATCGTTAGATGTCTGAGGGGAGCTCTGGAACAGAAAACGCCAGAAAACTGAACAGACAGACTTGACTTCTGTGGGTGTATCGACCAGATATTCACACTTCGGCAGGTTCTGGACCACAGGCAAATTTAAAGGCGCCCGAAACTATCAGTATTTCTCGACCTGAAAGTTACATTTGACTCCGTTAATCGAGAGGTCTTATGGCATTGTCTCTCATGGAAAGGGAGCCGAGTAAGTATATAACTCTGTTGGAGGCTGTGTTTTTTGAACACCCATGGGTGTATTAGATCCTATGGTGAGTTGTGTAGTGTCCGTCAAGGATGTCCGCTTTCCCCATTCTTATTCAACTTTATCATAGACGTTCTTGTGAAGGTTTCCCTCTCGTCATGTTTCTTCACGGGCTACGATCTGACCACAGAAGAATCTTCGTTAGATCTAGAGTATGTAGATGATGTAGTTCTGTTAGGTGAAGACTATCAAGATAAACAGTCTTCTGGAACCATTGAGTGGCAGTTTGGTGTTTGCGATGCATTCCTTACCACCCAAATGCAAACTGTTGCTCCAGGCTCTGTCTTCAGTGGTACTCTGTCTATCAATAAGGAGTGAAATGGTTGAGCACGTTGACCACTTCACTTACTTGGGAAGTCAGATCATCACTAGTGAGTCAGTGATCAACAAAATCTCTAAACGGATGCAAAAGGCTTGATCGGCTTGCGTCAACCCACGCCATCTGGTGTGCCGCCGTGGCTCGAGATGCCCAAACTAAAAATTGTAATCATTGCACGAAGTCTGTGACTATTGATCTGAGCCATATGGGGGCATGTAACGTCCTAGTTGGGGTCCTCGAGATGATATGAGTCAGTGGTTGAGGACTCTTGGTGATATGGATGAAAATCTGTCATAATGGCGCAGACGTATTCAGTCTTTGGGGTCTTCTAAATCTTGAATGTTTGCACTCACCTTTATCTTCAGATTGTTTATTCTGTCACGACTTTATCTACTTTGGTATCGGTCATTTTTTTATCCACCTTTTATTTGTGTGCTACTGTGAAGTGTGGCAGCTTGAACCAATGTGCTTGTGCGCGAGAGTCTACGTTCATGTTTCCTGTCTGTCATTTTTGGGTCTGCCTAACAGAAGCCGGTGGTTGGAGACTAGATGGTATAGCTCAGAATCGATCTCAGTGGCGGAGATGTATCCACACATTATCCTCTTAATCCTGATACTGACTTTCAGTATCTCTCCTTGTTCTCTTTTGATGACGTTCTACCACTTTTGAACGCTTTCTTCATTATATCTTTATATTTTATCTTGGCGCTTTTTCGCTTGATGTATTGATGATAAGGGGTGTGGCAACTTAAACTGTTACGCAGTAATAGCAGGTTCTATGTTGTTATTATGTCTAAATATTGTTATCTGCAAGCGTAAGAAAGGGAGGAGACAAAAATATGGAGGGTAAGTTATGTTTGATTGGGTTTTATTTACTGGTGGAAGCGATCGTGCGGTTTTTACCTAATGGCTGTCTCTACCGTGGAAGTTGTTTTGGCAGGGTACCTAAACGAAAAAAAACGAGTAGTGTTGCGTTATCACAAGACTCATAAGACATTGCTTGAAGCTTGTTACACACGGGATTTTGTGATTTAATTGTTCTACTTACTATGGCATGCCACACCAAATCATATTCAGTGTGGCTAACAGCCTACCATATAAACCTGTGATCGGCTTATGGTTTACTGATTTGAATTTTACCTACAAAGTAACCGGTTATGAAAGACCTGGGGATTTTTTCTTTGTGTGATCTTTATTTATTTGGATGTTTAATTGTTGTTTTCCAGGAAAGAAAATGAACTGCATCGTACAAACAAACGGAGTTTTTCATTTGTTGAAAGGATTTGGCGAGTGACCAGATGTACAGTATTTTCCCATCATTATAACCGGTAGCACTTCTAAATCGTTGATCTCCATTTTATATAAGGTTGTTATACAGTTTCTCCAGAGTTGGTGTCTCTCAAACACTGAAAAGTAAGCACAACTCTTGGTTAACCACAATGAATTATATTAAACAAACTTGATAATCAATCATCTGTGTTTCCACAACATTTCCAACCACACTAAGTGCCTGAAAAACTGATGCAGAACCTCGCCCACAGGTGCTTCGGCTCAAGCTGCCACACTTCACAGTAGCACACAAATAAAAGGTGGATAAAAAAATGACCGATACCAAAGTAGATAAAGTCGTGACAGAATAAACAATCTGAAGATAAAGGTGAGTGCAAACATTCAAGATTTAGAAGACCCCAAAGACTGAATACGTCTGCGCCATTATGACAGATTTTCATCCATATCACCAAGAGTCCTCAACCACTGACTCATATCATCTCGAGGACCCCAACTAGAAAGTTTACATTCCCCTATGTGCCTTATAACAACAGTAAGCGACTTCATCGAATGGCGCCATGTGTTTGTCCGGTCACCCTGAACCCTGTTCCAACCTCATGCAACTTCCCCTAGCATGGGAAGTGGAGGTAGGCGGTAGCTTGACATACACAGTACATGTCCAAGTCACCTCAACCTCATCAATCGGCTTGCCTGTCTTCCCTATTACCCTTTGCCTGACCTCAACACTGTTCACACGGTGATTCCACCAAACGCGAGCAGTACCATGAAGACATCTGTGACCAAAACTCGGTAATTGTGTCATGTGTCGGATATCTCGTTGGTCGTCGCCACAGGTGACGCAAGTTGACAAATGCCGAACGGGTGTTTTGTATCCGAGCTGAGATTCTGTCAGCAATCAGCGCGTTCAGGCTAATGCAACTCCCCAAGTAAGTGAAGTGGTCGGGACATTCCACCACTTCACTCCCTACCATTAAGCTGGGAGTAGTTGTAGACCAGTCCCATAGGATCATCTTACATTTGACAGGTGCAAAACGCATGCAAGACATACTCTGATTTCTGCTCAACGTATTCGGAAGGTCCTGCGTTTTGTCAGCGTCTTCACCTAGAAGGACAATAACGTCTGCATATTCCAAGTCAATTAGATGACCTCCAGAGAGTTGGTGAACTCTGTAAAGTCAGACGTACCTAAGGTTATGTCCATCAGTACGTTTATAACGAAGTTATGTAGGAACGATGACAGCGGGCTTCTCTGACGGAAACCACTAGTTGTCTTCAATTCAGATTTCATCTCCTCATAAACTCTAAGACGCCTGCGTGGTTTCAATTAAGGAGCTTTTATTGGCCTCATTAGCCTGCGCGCTACTTTTTCACATTCGGAGACTGCCGCAACACCCTGACGGTCGACTGAGTCAAATGCCGCCTAGAAGTCAAGAGATATGAGGAGTGTTGGCCACTTGCTAGTAAGTTTGTCTTTGTTCTAGAACTTGTCGGTGGCTAAAACGTTGCCCGATGTACTCTCGTCGAGGTCTAAAATCTGCCTTGTTTTCTGTTTTTGTGTTCCAGTTAGGCGTCGGATAACTATGGGTTATAAGATCTTGGACACCATATTCATCAAGCCAGTTCTCCTATTGTTGTCACAGGAAGACTTCTATCCCTTCATATGAAGTGAAATGACCAGTGGATTAGACTAGTCTAACAGTACTACCCGCGATTTCCATATTCTTCCTAGTACTTTTGTCACTTTAAGTAGCTATTACCTACCGCCATGTTTGAGAACTTCAGGTGGCAAACTGTCAGGTCATGCTGCTGTGCATCGTTTCAAGTTCGTTACAGCTTTCTTAACTTCAAGGAGGGTTGGAGGGCCGACATGTGCATCCCATACATGTTCAGTGTAGATGTTGAGCAACTGGAGTGTTGGTCGGGGCCAGTTGAACTGCTTTTCCGTTTTCTGCCTATCGTTCCAGCAGTCTGTCCTGGAAGGTTGTCGGTGTCCCTTCTTCTTCTTGCCGATATCCTTAATAAGTTTGGATATTTTCTGAGTGTTGCCGGCTGCTGGTGCCTTTTCCATCTCACTTGCTTTCTCTGCACAGTTCTCATATCAGTCGACATATAGGAACTTGGTCAACGTAAGTTCGAGTCGCTGTCACTGTTCGTTGTATTTCGAGTGTTTTGTAATCAGTTTTCTCTCATGAATCAGTTCAGATGACTTCCCAAAAATCCACTTATGTTTACTTCGCTCGAAGCGTAGTTTACCAATCGTCTCGACTGCTGTTCCTACCGCAGACTTGGTATGTCGCCAGGTTTCCTCAGGAAGAACATTGGTTTCATGTTCAGATAAATATACTGACAACTCTTCGCTAAATACGTTTTTGGTGTTCTCCTCTCGGAATCGACCATGGGCAGGCTTGACTATCCCCTGTTACCTGTAACCAGTAAGGCTCAGATATACACAAGCCCATACTAGTGTGTCATCGGAGTGTAAACTGGTAATCCAGAAAAGTGGGATGCCTCAACCCATCCTCTTCAACAACGGCTTGTAGAAGTGTGATCTATCTCTATCCATCGTTGGTTTGATGTCGGCGGGCCCCATGCGAGGCAGTGTCTCTCCTTATGCCTAAAGTTAGTGGTGGCCAGAAACAAGTGGTTGTTGGAACGATTTCCGTTGTCAAGTCGTTGGTATGGGATTCCGCAAATACTCCCAAGATGCCTTTCTGGTTGGCTCAGCTTCCCGTTATGACTGCATCTGCACGTTTTTGCTTGGTGTAGCGAAATTCGCAGCTTCTCATAGAATTCATCCTGTGCATCATCCGAACTGTAGTTGGTGGGTGCATGGACGGAGACTACGAATAGGCATCGCCTAGTCTCACGATCCTTCGTAGTCCTTGCAGATCGATTCAGTCGAACAGCACATAGACGGCTGTTTACTGGTATCCACTTGAAAAGCGCACTTCATGTTCTACAACTCAGTGCTATGCCTACACCAACGAGTACACGAGAGCTGGTCACTGGATCTTTGGATACTCTGAAGACTGACCACAGTAGTCAGGTGAGGTCAATCTAATAACCACATTCGGATTCTGCTTACATCCATGGCTCGATACTCCAGAGTTCTTGCGAGCGGTGCTTTCTATCCGACCTGGAGTAGAGTTCAGACGTTGAAAGCTCCTACATGAAGTCGATGGTGGGTTCTTAAGAGACTACGGATGACGTTTCGATAGCTTTCATCGTTGACAATGATTGCAGAGTGTGAGGTTGGGTAAGGTGTAAGAGTCTTACCATTCGTGTCAGGATGTGAAGGCAAAGGAGGAAACGGAGTTGAAGAGGATAGGTTATGTTTGATTGGGTTTTGTGTACTGCTAAAGAGGTGTGGGCAGCCGGCAAGTGCCAACTGCCCACACCGTGGAAGACTAATTTTTCTTAAGGTACCTGAAAGAATAACAGATTTGAGTGACCGAAGAGTCCATAGGATATCTGCTTGACGTATGTCACACAGCCTTTAATGGGTTGTTGTTTTGATGTTCGGTCGTTCTAACACCTGATAGAGAAGACCCATACCCCCGGCACCTGGAGATCGTGGGGCAGCGTGGGGAGTGTTATTTATTGGGTCGACCTTTCCTTCCGTTGAGAAGACAGCATCAGCGTGGCACTGCTGGTCATCCAAGGGAAACGCCTTACTGCTATCACACCTTATCCAGCTAGCAGCAGTACAACTTCGTCATCAGACCTCCATCATAGTGTGGTAACTAACACTAGAAGGGTAACTGGTTATCGTCTTACCACTCCAACAGATCTTCTTGGCACGGTAGGATCATGGGGAACAAGCGTTCCAGGCATTGCAGCTCGTTGGGTCATTGCAATGTGCAAGTTCAGCCACCACGTCAGGATAGCAGCTATTAGCCGGAATATTGTCTAATCGCAGTTATGCGTTTGAACTTCACATTTGTGAGCGCTGTGCATTGAACTTTTAGAAGGGGAGAAACTCATCCAGAACATTCTCACTGTCATTCGTGGTGTTCAGAAATCCTACACTGTCAGAGTTTTGGCTTGACAGGAATATGTCAGCTTTTCTCTGTACGGTGATTTAAGTTTCCTTAGGAAAGACATCAGTTTTAAAGGGAACATTAAGTTGTATCGCCGGAAGAAGCTTTTGTGTAGATGTCGAGCAAAAGTAGAGGGAAGATAGCTTGCCACAACGTCATATGTTGCTGTAGATTTTTGAGTAAGGAGGGAAAATTCAGTAGTGCTGTATATTTGTTGAAAATGTTTATGAGCTGTTATTTTCTGAGACACCCTAATCAGTGTAACTAAATGCTACATCTGAGTAAGTAAATGCGACCTTGTGTCCAGGGTCTACGAGTATTAATTTTTTCATTGTTTGATACGAAGTAAAGACTATGTGGATACTTTCACAAACATGCTTTTCTCAAGTTTGCTGTCCCTGCACCCATTTCGGTTGTTAGATTTTTATGGAAGATTAAATTCCATTTCTCGCAAAAGATGTGATAGAACGTAGTTAAATCCATGGAAAATGTTTTCATTGCGGAGAAAATCAATTTATTATTAATATATTTGTCATGAATGTTTACAATGAAAGGATAGGACCTAATCAGAGGTTAGGGTTAGATGAGTCAAATCTCTGACTCATTATAGGTTATATCCCAATCAATGCTAAGAATAATCCTAGTATGTCATCTTGAAATAGTTCTGGTGTTAAGTCAATAGAACTCATTACTTCCCTCCTTTTCTGTTCATTACCAACCCCTGAATATCTGATGTTTGTTTTCCATTTAGGCTTCATTCTGATCAGCTGAAAACTAAAGTGTAGCTGAAAGTCAGTTTTGTCAGTTTTGTCACTGACACGTGAATAATCTTCCTTCTTAGTAGGTTACTGACCAGTTACATTTTACCATAGTTTCATTGACAGCTAAATTTTCATGCTAAACTTCGTGATCAATCTAAAAAATGCATATTATCTCTCCCCAGCTCAAATAGTTTTACAAAATCAGTAGTGGTTGAATAGTTATAACCTTTAACAATCGATGCTGAAGTGTGCAGTAAGTGTCCTAAATACTCATCTGATGCTAGTTTTGTTCTTAAGCACTTATCCGAGTTCTCAGGCAAGC